ATTAAGCTAAGTTCCTTTCGCTCTCTCATATTCTTTCTTTCTTTTAATCTTTCTTTCGTTCTTTCTTTCTTTCTTTTAATCTTTCTTTTCATCTTTCTTTCTTTTAATCATTTTTCTTTCTTTTTAATCTTTTTTAATCTTTTCTTTCTTTTTTAATCTTTTCTTTTTTTTTTTTTAATCTTTTCTTCTTTCTTTTTTTAATCTTTTCTTTTCTTTTCTTTCTTTTTAATCTTTTCTTTTTTTTTAATCTTTTAATCTTTTCTTTCTTTTCTTTTTCTTTCTTCTTTCTTTCTTTCTTTCAGTTTTGTGTTTACATCAGTCAGTAATTATCTCTCTCTCCCTCGCTTTATTCTTAATTTCTTTCTTTTTTTTTTTTTTGTTTGTTTGTTTTTTCTTTCACTTTTGAGTTCATCTCTGTTTCTTTCTCTCTCGGTACTCGATTGGGCATTTCATATTATCTATCTATCTATCTATCTATCTATCTATCTATCTATCTATCTATCTATCTATCTATCTATCTATCTAACAGTGCGCACACGCACAGGTAGATATACACATATTTAAGCGTGTGTTTCTGTATCTATATATGTACTGATATATGCTAGAAAAAAAAAGAAAAAAGTTTGCATTCTTTTGCCAAATGCAATTCGTCTTCAGATTGAAACATTTTTGGCAACTTTTCTGTTTTAGCATTCTTAATCGAAAATAGTTCTCTCATCCTCTTCCCCTCTCTCTCTATATATATCTATCTATATATATATAGAGAGAGTAATATTAATAATAATAATGATTATATCTATATATATCTCTATCTATCTATCTATCTATCTATCTATCTATCTATCTATGTAAATGTGTATGTGTATATATATATATATATATATATATATATATATATATGTTATTTTTATACATATTATTTATATATTATATATGCGCGGTACTCATTGGAAAGCGTTCAATATCAGTGATAGAGCTAACATATTTTGTTGGATTGATGTGAGTTTGTGACCCTGGGTTTCAAGCAACCATATATAAGCCCACAATTGTAAAAACTGATCAATTTTTAAAATTGGGGGCTTATATATGGTTGCGTATATCAGTGTTTTCATGATATCCCACTACCATAAAAAAACCGATATACGCAACACACACACACACACACACACACACACACACACACACACACACACACACATATATATATATATATATATATATATATATGAGAGAGAGAGAGAGAGAGAAAGAGAGAGTAATGTACTCAACCATACCATGAAAGTATAAAAGAATTATCATGTTTTACCAATTTTGTAAAGTTGGTCGGCCCAAGAACTCAGCACTTTTCAGCACACCTACGTGTACTTACACGTGTGCGCGCGCATACACAAAGGAAGATGACATTGATGTTATCAACCGAAAGAGCCGATCCCAGGGTGTCAAAATATATTGTAGGCATATATCTTTTTATCGTTTCCTTACCGTAAATACAAGAGCATCAAATGACGAAAATTTCCCCCATTTTAACTGTCAACTTAAAAACATTTATAATTCAAAATCCACGCCTGAATTGTATATAAAGACATGTTGAAATGTCAGCTTTCAGAAAATGTATATATGTAATGAATTTCAGTCAAGCGTGAAACAAAATTCTGTCTTGCAGGTGGCTTCATGATTTCATTCTCCAAGAATTCCAGGCATCTATCTGAGTGATGAAATGGTCTAAGAGGTTTTTAAAGGCTTCCACGTAATTTAACTCCTTCCTATTAAGAGTGATGTGTAGCGATCGAAATCAGTGGCAATCGGAAGTAGCGAGGTTAGGTGATAAGGGCGGGTGTAGTGAGACATACCAACCAAGCTGTGCCAATTTCTGTCGGCTCTGCAAATAGACGTAAGGTCTGGCGTTGTCCTGATGGAAGACGACAGGCTTCCGATAAGCCAGTTCCGTGTGCTTTTCAACGATTCAACTGCCTTTGATCGGCTCAATTGTGAACAGCACTTGTCTCAGTTCAACGTTTGATTTTCTCGGAGCTCGTAATAAACAATGTTTTTTTCCAATCCCACCAGATACACAGCGTCGGATGCAGACTAGCTTTTTGGGTGCTTAACGGTGGCTCGTTTTGTTTTCCTCGGGACATTTTTTTTGTCTCCATAAATGGAACATATCTTTAGTTGTTTGTACAACATATGTTTTCGGGAATAAACGAACAATAAATAACGAAAATGCATTACCTTCTTCCCTTAAGGTAAAAACATTTAAAATTTACAATCCAGACTTGAATCGTATATAAAGACGATATGTATTGTAATAAGTTTATATGTACGATTGGCCAATTCCAAGCGCTTTTCACCGACTACTAATTTTACAGAACTCTCAGCTATGGTGCCATTTCTACAAGTGGCACATATCTTATATATCTCAAATGACGAAAATGCATCTCATTCACTATCATTTTCCCTTTGAATGCAAAAACATTTAAAATTCATAATCACGTGATAC